CAGTAGAGAATTTAGTTTAAATGGATTGTTTGGTTTATCACAGCCACCCTGTAACTTAGACATCATTGTTTTCCTTTTCATTTTGGCAAGTAGGAAACAAAAAAACCCAAGAGGAACATAACCATTATGAACTCTGGATTTTTTTTTTAAAAAAAATGTAATTTGATTGATGATATTGATTTGAAGTTTCCCATCATGCTATACTGCATGTTCCAAACAATCTACTTAAAATGCTATGCTACTTATTATTTTTTAAAAATGAAAACACAGTTAAAAGCAGCTGACTCTCATTTTGGTAATGGTAACATTAATATTTAGTCTCTTCTACATGGGTTCGGTATCAGAGTTATTTTCCTAAGGGTTTGGTAAAGTGTAATATACCATGTGCCAGAAATTCCTAGTGTGTGGGTAAATCCCTTTAGCATCATTTTACTAAGTTATACATTCTCAATATAGTTTCTCCTCATGTACAGTCTTCCTTAGTAGGAGAAATATGATAACTCCTAGGTCATGTGAATAACTTCTATTAAATACCTAAAGAACCTATTTAAGCACGAGTCAGATGAAGTTATAAAAGCAGATAAAATATGGGCAATCATGAATGTGTAAAAATTAAGACTTGGTTGCTTTAAGTTTCAATTGTGAAATAACTTCCTCAAATATTAACTATTCTCTTTGATCTTGAGAGCTATGAAAGACGGTATGAGATGTGAGTTGGATTCAGTGAAGTTAATGTTGTTAATAGATATCATTACATGGATGAATGAAGAAATCAATGCTGTGGGATGGTCTGTATGTCAAATTGCTCTGATTGGTCAATAAATAAAACACTGATTGGCCAGTGGCCAGGCAGGAAGTAGGTGGGAGGAGAGGAGAATTCTGGGAAGCAGAAGGCTGAGGCAGAGAGACACTGCTAGACGCCACCATGACCAGCAACATGTGAAGACGCCGGTAAGCCACCAGCCACGTGGCAAGGTATAGATTTATGGAAATGGATTAATTTAAGCTATAAGAACAGTTAGCAAGAAGCCAGTTACGGCCATACGGTTTGTAAGCAATATAAGTCTCTGTGTTTACTTGGTTGGGTCTGAGCGGCTGTGGGACAGGCGGGTGACAAAGATTTGTCCTGACTGTGGGCAAGACAGGAAAACTCTAGCTACAAATGGCGCCCAACATGGGGCTCGAACCCACGACCCTGAGATTAATAAGAGTCTCATGCTCTACCGACTGAGCTACTTACTAACTCCAACTATGAAAGAATGTGACTCTTACTTTACTTAAGTCACAAAAACAGGCAGCCACTTCTGTGCCATAGCTAATTTTGTACAGAGTCATCAGAAGCCTGATACACTCTACCTCTTGACTTTTTAGCTATGTCCCATTGGCATTTGTCATTCATGAACAAAGCCAGGGCAGACAATTATACCTGATTCACTGCCTTGGCTACACAGTTTATCTGTAATCAGCATGAAAATGACACAAAATAACATAAGTGTGTTTAGAGCTCCTCTCTCTCTCTCTCTCTCTCTCTCTCTCTCTCTCTCTCTCTCTCTCTCTCTCTCTGTGTGTGTGTGTGTATGTGTATGTCTTTTCTCCCTCTCCTTTCTTTTATTTATGAAGAAATATTTTTTAAGATTACATAGGAGAAAATGTTCTTAAGTGTTCTGTGTTTAACAAATAGTCCAATTTCCCTAACCTACCAGTGCAATAAACAATGCACCTGTTCTCTACAATGATTAACAAATAAATGATTTTATGATACTTGGCTTCTCTGGAAGGTGGTATATAAATGCTAATCGTTTGCTATTTATACTAATTGTAAGGCATATGAACACTTACACACATGTCTAACATCTGCCAGTTTTATGTAAATATACTTTGAAAAGATATGAAATATATATTCACATTTTAGAAGATTTCTCAAATAACCATAATTGCATATTTGCTGAGAGTAATTCAAGTTCAAAAACTATCTCAAGTTTTCAATTTAAAACGTGTTTTCAACTTTATCCTATATTGGTGTTTATATTAAATGACCAATTACTTAATTTTCAAAACAAAAAGAACATAGCATTTATCTGTTTTTAATAACACAAAATTTATATGGTTGTACATACATCTGTGTGTGTTCTTTCAAAATTTTTATTTTCCTACTGGCACTAAACATGAGATATATTGTCCTCATGAGTTTTTTTAGCGTGCCACGTGGCACCATAAAATACAGTACTGTGCCATGCAGCAGATCTCTAGAATGCAATAATCTTAGGTAAGTGAATTGTACAGTTGTGGGTTAGCAAGTCCTCATTTCTCTCGACCCTTAGCCACTGGTAGCTGCCAGTCTGTTCCCTGTGTCTTTGAGTTTGACTATTATAGATATTCCACAGAAATGTAATTATTCCTGAGATTAATCCTAACATCCTGTAAAACTGGTTTGGTGGCTAAAACCTGTAATCCCAGCACTTGGGAAGTACAGGAAGAAGGATCAGAAGTTCAAGGTCATCTTTACTTATCTAGAAATTAAATCATGCACAACTTGACACATGACAGCTTAATTTCTGTCATTTAGCTTAATGTCCTCAAGGTGATCCATATTGCCATCCATGTATTTTAGAGTTTTTTTTTTTCAGGTTAAATTATATTCCATTGAACAAGTATATTGCATTCATTCACTCATCTGTGGATAGATGTGGAGCTTGCTTCCATACCTTCATGTTATAAACAATGATAGCATGAACATGGAAGTGCTCTTCATGATTTCTGTTTCAGCTTTTTTAGATAAGCATCTAGATGTGAGATGGCTGAATAATAACAGCTCTGTTCAGCTTTTTTGAGGGTCCTTCATGTTGCCTCACATAGTGGCTTCAGCACTTTGAATTTCTTCCAAGGATGTACAAAGTTTCAGTTTCTCCAAATCCCTTCCCATATTTTGGTTGTTTTAAGGAAAGCTGTTCTAACAGATGTGAGGTCATATTTCATTTTATTTACATTTCTCTAATGTTTAATGGCACTGAACATTATCATTTCCATATACCCATTGCCATTTGCTTGTATTTATTAAAAATTCACACCCAAATCCATTTTTAAATTAAGTTAATTTTTAAATACTATTAAGTATTTTCTCTATGAAATTGTGGTAGTTCTTCCTATCTATCTATCATCTGTCTCTATGTCTGTCTGTCTATCTATCTATCTATCTATCTATCTATCTATCTATCTATCTATCTATCTATCCATCCACCTGTCTGTCTATCATTTTAATTAGTTCCATATCAGAAATGTATTTTGCTAGTACTTTTCTAGTTATTTTATATATTTTCATTTTGATTATTATTCTCTAAAGACTTCACACACACACACACCTTATTTGAACTAATAAACCTTTAATGCCTTTAGTAAAATTACAGGACACAGAAACAACATACAAAAATCAATTGCATTTACATACACTATTGTCAGAGTATCTGAAAAGGAATGAGGAAAGCAATATTTATAGACAGAACACCAAAATACATACATAGATGTACTCTTAATTAAGATGAAGGAATAAAAATAGCTTCTTTTATTATTTTGGATCTTCTACATGGTATGAAATTCTTCTCACTTGTCTTCATCCTTGGTTTCAGCAAACTCCCCAGCACAGGCTCATCAATGTATATAATCACTACCCTATTTGTAGTACCCATACCTCTTTTTGTATTACTATTACTCAGATAGTTTCCCAAACTGTGTTTAATAAGAACCCAATCTGTAGATATGCATAAAAAAATGTTATACAGCATCATTACATGAAGAAAAAAATGCACATCGTGACATTTTCAAGTGGAAATTCACCAAATGTGGAACAGTAATGAATGTGTTGGGTTGTTACAGAGACACTTGCATTTTCATTTATTACAGAATTTAGAAATTATGGAAAATATATACAGTTTTATGGGAATAAGGCTCCCAGCTTAAAAAAAAAAATCTAAGATGATAGCCACAAATATATTTTACTAAAAATTTACAAGAGTGCCTTGAAAAAAGTAAGGTTTTAATTTAGATGCTGTAACAACATTTTTAGCTTTAAGAATTAATTTTTTATTGAGGCAGTACCTCACCACATATCTCAGGTTATTATGAGCCTCTCTCCCTCCAGGAATCTTCCTGACACCATCTCCTGATTTCAGATGTGCATACTGTACCCAGCTAAGTGTAAAATTTTAGCATGTTAGATCAACTCTTTACCCTAAAGGGATAGAAAGTTCTGATTTATTTAAAAAATGAAAATAAGCTGTAAGAAACTGATAGATCAGTGTTCCAGGATATGGAGCATTATGGGCTATGCTCCTTTTTCAAGTTCAAGATTGATTGGCAGGTTTCCTGCTGTGAGTTATTTGTGCTTTCAAGTAGTCACAGAGGTAAATGTGCATCTCAGATAGGCTCACTAGCTATCAACACTTGCAGGTCTATTTTCATAATGCCTACTGTAGGAACCTTGAGCCTAAACTTCGCTCAGGTCTTTGTGTGGGCTTTAATAAGTAACAGGACACAATGATAATTCTTCTTACAAATAAAGCCACATAAGGAGGCAGAGAAGTACAACGTGACATTTGATCAGAAAACTGACAGAAATGAAAAATACACATTTGACTTTCTGGAAAACACACATTCCAGAAGAGAAAATGCTAACTGCAAAGACCCTATGTCTGTAATGTACTTGGTAGGCTTAAGAATTTTACTCCCAAGACACATTGCTTTTCAGTACTGCTTCTTAGAGCCTGCCTTCTCTGTGGTCCCGAATCCTGTCTTTCCTCTTCAGCTCTTTTCCTTCACCCTTAAGATGAGCTATCATCTCCAGCATAAGTCTTCATGCCCTTCCCCTGGCCTAAATGCCCTCATCTTCTTGGTCCCACAGCCTCTTTCTTGATTGCATAAAAACAAACTAAATTACATATGTGATTGGATATTGTAATTTATGCATGGCTTAAGAAGATATCTTAGGATTTCTGCATATGAAAATATTAGTGGGTTACCTTAAGTGTCTTTATGTTTCTTCTGGATACAGAGCACATCTCCTTGGAGCTGTGAGTCAAAGCAGTGCCTGAAGGGCCAAGAATCAAGCCCAATCACTGGGTCACTGAGCATACTGCCTGTGTGTTTCTTGGATTTGGTGCAAGTTCATTCTTCACTATAATTGCTCCTGTTTCCTTTGCCAGTGTGATGCCAGTTCTTAACAGTGCATTGATGTTCCGTCTATGCTGATGGTTGTTGCTGCTTTGTTTTTTCTTCCTCCTAAGACAATGCACCCCTTGTCACCCAGACACACATAACGTTCCATTTCCTTCTCTAAAATGTAATCAGAAATGTAATGAATGTTTACTCTTCCAGGCACTCTTGTACTTATTGAAGTTACTCATAAGCGAGAAAATACACGGCCTGAACTTCCATAACTAGAAATTAGAGGGAAGAAGGCTGGCTTAGAAATAAGCACAATAGAGAATGTCCTAAGGATTATACACAAAGAGCAGCTTTGAGGACAGATACTCAGCTGTGGTTGACACCTCCCTGGGGACAGGACCACTGCATCTGAATCTGGAAGCAGAGGAACTCAGACACATGCCATGTAAGAGCAAGGAAAGAGCAAATGTGATGACATCATAGTGTGAACAAGAAGGTAGGTCACCAGATGATTGAATCTGTGATGCCATTCACAGGTCTCTAATACTAGAGAGCAGAGTACCCCTGGAAGAAACCTTATCTGAGATGATGCTGTATTTGAATCTCTTGTTCCCATGCTAGGCATACATAGTAACACCATGAGTTTTTGTTGTTGTTTCTCTCTTTTGACTAAGTAAAGATGAAATTCATGTTTCCGAGAAAACTCAGTATTCATATTGGAACCACATGGACATTCATACTTAAAAGCATACCAAAGGTCTGGGAGATGGTTCAAATGGTAAAGAGGTTGCTGTACAAGAATAAGGACCCACAAGAACCCATGGACTCCCAAGAACCACATAAAACGTCTGGTGTGGTGTGTACAGCTGTAATCCCAGTGCTGGGAGGCAGCAGGAAAAGAAGGATCCATGGAGTTTGCTGGCTAACCAGCCTACTTTAGTTGATGAAGTACAGGTTCAGTGAGATAGCCTATATCAAAAAGAGTTGGGAAGTGACTGAGGAAGATATCTGACTTCACATTCTAGCACCAGCATGCATATATACACATGAACATATACAATACTCACTTATACAAAGTGCATCCAAACACTCCTGAACTCTTGAAATTTTCAGGTTTGAGAGACTTTCCAGGTTCACAGAGAAACACAGTGAGGTACTGATCTGGTTAAACTGAGAAATCTACTGACTAGAGACAACCACTTTGCCTTTTGGGTCTCTTTCCACAAAATAAATAAGCTCAACAAAATATAAACAGGTTTTAAGCCATTCTGAGAGGTGTTTGGCATGCAAGGATAGTTATGAACAAGCTATGACACTATGCTTGGTGGTCATCTAGACCCACCCACTAGCAAAGCATCTTTCTCCAGATTACCAAAAACTAAAATGACACCAAACAGTAGTTTCAAAAGGGCATTGTAGTTTTCAAACATCAGAAATTTGGGGGAATGTAGATGAAATTCTAAACAGTCTTAGTAATTAAGAAACATAGAGCTAAATACAGAGGAAATAGCCAAAGAGATCAGAGCAACAACCATGGCTAGATTTAGCTCACCACCAGCAGTAGCTTCCCCAGAGAGAGAGTTTCTTCCTCCTGACTTGTGTTTTTATTGTCTTTCTGTTCTGCCTTCTCATTGGTCCTAAGCCCAATAAAGGCTCGTGTCACAATGCTTGGCTGTGTCCTTGACCACACAGAGACTCTGCCTGCCATGTGATCAGATTAAGGGCATGTGCTACCACTGCCTGACTTCTGCTTAATGGCTATTTGACCTCTGATCTCCAGGCAACTTTATTTATTAACATACAAATAAAATATCACATTTTATCACAAATAAAGTATCACCACAGGGGAAGCTTGTAAGCAATCGGATTTCAAATGCAAAATCTATCGATACGAGTCTAATATGAAGGATAGCTCTCCTATTTCTGGCAGCTTCCTAGATGTTTCTCCTGTAACCCACATGCCAGCGTTATTAAATCTCTCAGCCTTGAGGAGCACAGTGACCAAAGGGAAAGCCCTCAATCAGTTGTCCTTCTTTTAAAGCAACCCTTGTCCCCACTTCCATTAAGCTAAATATCCTAAAATTGGCTTAATTGCAATACCTAAAGGCAAGCTTGCAGTCTGTGAAAGTGCTTTGGAAAAGAAAAAAAAAAGGTGGAGTGCTCTAATATTAGCAGGGCTACTGGAAGATGAGTGACACATCAAAGAAATTGGAGTTGTTTTTTCATGATAATTTAAGGGACTCAGAGTTCTCTGAAACCAAACCAATGCTCTAATAAACACTCTGCTCTTAGACTCAACAAAGCACTTGCAACAGACGTTTAGTATTATTTATTAGCTAACATGAACAATTAAATTGTAATATAGGTAATATTTTTCTCAAGAGGAAATATCTCAATGCCCTATAGAATTGTAAAGATTTTTAATAACTAGAAAGACAACTAGAATTTTTTAATAATATCATGAAGACCGTCACTAGGTAGAAAATACCAGAAAACAAAGCATTAGAAAATGCTTATGCATTGATGTTTGTTGTTCGTAGTGTGATGTCTACTTGCAAAGTGCTACAGAAATTTAATGAATATTAAATTTAGAACAAATAAGAAGGAAATCAATTCTGTCCTCTTTTTCTTACAGGTAATAGCTATTAAAAATTGCAAGTGGGTAGATTTTTGCCTGAAAGATTTCTACCTTTTGAATTTGATTTCACACATATCAGAGGGCCCCGTCTGTCCCCTTATCACCCAAAGAACCCATTTGCCTTGGTTGGTGGGCTAAAAATTAAGTTTTTCATTTTTTCCCCTGAGTTAAACGGATAGAGATCTGAATGATCACAGGTGGGAACACTTTATTTCTATCATTTTCTGGTAGACATGTCAGCCTTACTGATTATTTAGCTGTGTCTGTTCCTAATATCTGCTCCAGAAGAGATGTTTTTCTTTCTTTTGCATTGCCATAGAGGATGCATCATTCAAAATAACATCTCCCTCTAAACTTTTCAGATTTCCAGGCCAAGCTTTAAGGGTTGCAACTGCCATTAGGAGATAGGAAGGTACAGTAAATGCCTGGAGTGGGTCTTTTCGGAGCAGTGAGGAACCAGAAATACATGCACGGTGCAGAGAAACAGCTGGTTACATTTCTGGGCAATTGTTGCTATGTGTGAATGTAAGTTCAGTGTCATAAGTTCATCAAATTACAAAGAGAAGCTTGAAACTTGGGGATTCCTGTGTGTGTGTGTGTGTGTGTGTGTGTGTGTGTGTGTGTGTGTGTGTACGTACATACAAATATATATAAATCCTGATGCCTAAAAACTGTCTTAAATAAAAAAAATATTATGTCAGCCAACATTGCATTTTGGGGGCTAAATACAGCTTGCCTATAGCCAGTTTTCTATCATCACATCTCCGCCCATTTTATCCATGGTTAATTTATATAACTCATGTTTGAATACCAGTACAAATCCAGGTAACTTAGATCAAGCTGGAGAGATGTACCAGAAGGTAAAAATGCTTGCTTAGAAAGCATAAGGAACAGAGTTCTAATCCCAGCATTCAGGTAAAAATTTGGTTGTGCTTATAAATCCCAGCATCTCCAGGGATGGAGACAGGAGGATTCCAGGGTTGCTGACCACCAGTCTAGCTCCAGCTTCCTTGAGAGACCCAGGTCTCTCTCTCTCTCTCTCTCTCTCTCTCTCTCTCTCTCTCTCTCTC